AAAGGGGGGGGGGGGGCGGGGTACAGGGTGGTGGTAGACAAGAGTTGGTCGACGTGCGCTTTCAGCCATGAAGTAAACGCGGTACGCCATCTGAGGCAGACAGTAACGGGTGTCGTCTGAAAACGTTCTCCAGAGCGGTGTGATTCGACAACCACGAAACTCGTGACACCACAGTGGTACTGCCACAAGTTGTCCTGTCTTTCTTCTTCCAAGTCCAAGCTTAGCTCGCTGAACCAGTCAACCGGCTTTGAGGTAAATGTAGACAGGTCCATTTCCTTTGCTGCATGCCATTTCGATGGCTGCAAACCAAACAAACGAAAGCCTCCCAACACGGACGGTACAGCAGCAGCAGCACAACAAAAACACCCTCACGTCTCAGGCGTGGCGACCGCCGCCCAAGCCGCCCAGATGTGCCGCCTCCCGAACCGCGGGAGGCCATGGCTCATCACGGCCTGCCGCACCGTCTGGTCCTCCGTCCTCTGCGCCAGCACCCAGCGCCAGACCCTCCCGTTGCCGTCGACCCCGCCACGCCGACGAACGGTCTCGACGGGAATCTTGGCGTACACCACGGGCGCGTGCCTCGCCGCCAGTTGCTGCTGCCGTTGCAGCTGTTTCTTCGCCGACACGGCATCCCGGGCGGCCCGGGCCGCGCGCAAGGCCCCCGGCGGGGTCACTGATTCTCCAATGCGCGTCGCCGCCGCGGATGCTAGTGCTGCCGCTCCCTCGGCGGTTTCTGTGCCGTCTGCGTCCGCGTGGGGGTCCGGCGGAGCAACAACCGGAAAGAAGACCGACATCTGGCGCATCGAAGCGTCGCTGCCGGCGCTCTCGTTACCGCGCGCGCCGCCGCGGCGCACCGAAGCGTCGCTGCCAGCGCTCTCGCTACCACGAGCGCCGCCGTCGGCACCATCGCCTCCGGCGCCTGCGCCGGCGCCGGCGCCCCTCGCCCCGTTAATCGAACCGGCGCCGCTGTCCTGGCGTCTGCCCTCCGAGACGGCGGTGGTTTTCTCCTTCTCTCGCGAAGCGGGGGACGGGTCCTCGATCTTGGGACCGTTTACCGGCGGGCTCAACAGGTCAACTTCGTCGCCGACATCTTCGGAAGACCCTCTGCTCCGCTCACCGCCGTTACTGCTGTCTTTGCGCGGGGCCGGGAGCACGCTCCCGGGCCTCGACTTGCCGCTGAAACCGACGCCGACACTATCTCGGTGGTAGCGTCTTTCCGTCTTGCCACCGCTGCTGCGCCTCTCCATGGTGCCGCTGCTGCTGCTGCTGCTTCGTCGACGCTGCTGCATCCAGGAGTTATCTGGGCGAAGGCGATTTGGCATCGGGCGGCTAGCCCCGTCGGCGTCCGAGGATTCCCCGCCTTCGGCTGCGGTCGCGTCCCACTGCCAGGCCGGGTGCTTCTCTTGGGCATGAGAAGAAGAAAACGAAGCGACGGGCGACGATATCTCTATTCTGTGAGACGGGCGGCGCCTGCTGCCACCGGATTTCTGATGCTTCGGGGTCGTGATTCTCGTCGTCGACGCCGCCGCCGCCATGGACGCCATCTCTCGCTTCAGCCGAGCAACCTCCGCTCTCAGCTTTTCCAGCTCCTCGGACTCAGCAGCGTGCTCCTTCTCGGGAGAAGATCCGCGGGGCTGTTCCGTTCCCGCCGCCACAGCAGTACCCCCGCCTCTGCTCCGGTCCGCAGAACCCCCCTCCTCCTGGGTGCTCTCGTCGCGGTCCGCGGCCATAGAGTTTGCCGTAGGTGTGGCGTGAACCTCTGCCTGTTCGTTTCCAGAAACCACCGGCGACGCCGCCTTCGACGCCGCCTGCTGTGCCGCTGCCCCCCCCCTGTCCGCCACCGCCTCAAACGCGGAGGTCGGCGACCGCATCGGCGTGGTCGTCGGGGGACGCTCCGTCGGCGACTCGGTTGCTGCGAAGCAAACAGGCACCTCGTTTGCTAGGGACTGCTGATTGTCCTGCTGCTGCTGCTGCTTCTCTTGCTGCTGCTGCTTGTCTGGCTGCTGCTTCTGCTGCTGGTTCCCCTGCTGCTGGTTCTCCTCCTGCTGCTCAGTAGCCCGCGTTCCCTCCCCCGCACCGGGAGTCGCAACACCATTCAAAGCCGCACCAGCGGCCGCCGCCGCCCCCGCCGGCGCGCCAGCACTACTGGTAATAACCGGTGGCGGCCTCAACCCCGCGCGGGGGGCAGAAATCATCGAGCTCGCCCGCTTCAGGTGGGTCGCCTCCCCGCCGCCGGCCACGCCCATTCTCCGGTTCGACGGCAGCGGTCGCCGGTACCACGGAAGGCGGTAATACTCTCCGGGGGGCGGCGCGAAAACGCCTCTGCCCCCCCCGACGGCCCCGCCGCCGCTACCGGCGCTACCGACGGAGGAGAACCGCGGGCGCGACGGCCCTCCCCTCTGCCGGAGCCGCGATTGTCGGGGGCCCGCCGCGTCCCCCGTCAAAGACGAGGGCGAGCACAATTCCGGCACCGCGTTTGCCGAGGCCTTGGTGATGGAGCAGAGGAGGCTCATCGCCGGAGAGTCTTGCTCTTGGTCCTGGGCAAAGTGAAGGCGGGTGTGTTTGAGGTTTTGGGGTGGGCAACCGTACTCAAGCGACCCAATGGGCGCCCGCTGTTTGTCGTTTGTCGGGCCTGCGGTGCCGAAGCAGCTCAAGTACGTTCGCATACGTATGCTGGCATGCTACCAATGTGGCGAATGTACTGCGACGGCGGCCCACGGGCGCAGCGGGCACAACCCCACGCAAGCTGAATAGAGTGCATGCTGAACAGAGCGCATGCTGATGACAGAAGTGGTCTAAATGGCTGTTTCTCCACCTTTGGGATCGCCGACCGGACCCCGTCTGATGCAGCAGCAACACTTCTAGCTGTGCGCACTCATGTGTGGAAGGAAATGGTGCGTTCGTTTGTACACCGCAGGTTTGCTAGTGCCTTGTGGAGCGTCGGACAACAAAAGAACAAACCTGCACCGCAGCAGCCAGAACCTTCTCAGATGCCGAGCCGGCCATGCCGCGAGCATCGCCGAACCACTCCCCGTCCTTCTCCAGATGCGACGACTGGTATTGCTCTTTTCTCCCGCTGCCGCCGCGGGTGATGCCACTGTTGATGCTGCTACCGCTACCGGCTGCCCCCTCGCTCCTCCTCCTGCTCGGCCTCCAGTTGCGAGGCACGGCCAGGCGGCTTTGATGCCCGGCCGGAAAGGACTCGGGGCTGCTGTCGCCACCCCTGCCGCCGAGACCTGCGCTGTCCGCTGGTTGGGCATCCGGCCTAACGCTGCGCATCTCCTGATGCCACGGAATGGGGATGGATCTGAGAGGCAACAACAACACAACAAGGACGCAGAAGAGGAGCACCAGAGGTCGGACGTGTCTTGTACGCCCGCACAGTAGAATCAGCAAAGCCATCTTGCGCCATGACTTTGCCGAGAGAAAAGGCGTTCACCGACCAGGTGCCCAGGACCGATTTACCAGGTCCATTAATACTTGGAGAAGAGACACAGAAAAATCGCTCAAGGCCGGCCTTTGCCGGGTAGCTGAAGCGGAGATTTGCACAACTCCCCCGCCCCCTCAAAAACTGGAGGAGGCAAGTAATACCGGAGGGGAACGGTGGAGAAAAAATAGAATCCAGGGTTAACCTCCCTCTTCCGTAACTCCGCCTGGTGCTTCTCACAATCACCGAAAGGTGTAAACCGGCACCCTGAATCTATTTGACGCAAATCGGCTGAAGCAAGCACAGCCAAGCACACAAGGAGTAGCAAAGAGCAAAGAGGGCTTTCACGTGCAGCGTGCAGACCACAACAGGAGAGAAGGATATGTCCAAAACTGTTGAGTTACAAAGCCATGAAACCGTAGGGATAAACCACACAGGAAACTTATTTGTGACCCCAGATGGGATCTCGCTCCAGTCACAACACAGGTTACCATGGGTTTTGCGGTACGTGTGTGTGTGCTTTTATTATTAGCATCGACCGCGCTAACCGGCTGACCAATGAAAAGACGTCAGTCTTAGTGCGGTTGAAAACACAAAACACTTCTATCTACCATGAACTGGGACCCCGTGAGGGAGCAGCATGGGGGAGGCTACGTGTGTGTGTGCGTGTGTGTGTTTTTATTACAGTAGCGGCTACGGTTTAAATGAACTTATTTAAGAGAAAGTACCGATTTAAGAGGGAGGAATTGGCTTGTACCAATCAAAATCGATTTAAGAGAAATTTCCTATTGCAGCTGGGATTTTTCTCTTAAATCGAACAATATGGAAACCACGTTGACACACACACACACAGCTGCAGACACCATGCCCTGCGCGGCGGGCAGTCGCTGCACGGCTGTCCCCGATCACACGCCAGGCCCGCCGGCGTTCACAAATCACCAATGTAGAGGAGTCTGCGGGCAGTACCTCCATGGCACCTGTGGTGTGGTGGACCCTCAGGGCACCTCCGAGATCATCGCATCTGCCACAACTGCCTGTCCTCCCGTGAGCGCATGACTTCAGGCGGTAGAAACATAGCTGTCTGTAGAGGACAACGTGGAGGTAGCCGAAGCGATCGTAACAGAGATGGTAGAGGACCTCTGTGATGAGAATTTGGTGGACATGGATCGTTCCTCTGACGACGAGGACGACGACCTGGTTGAGCTACGCCAATCGGGACAGTCGGCGGCGGCAGCGGCCCCGGCTCCGCCGCCGTACGCGAATGTAGCAACCCATTTTGGTGAACTCGAGGATACTGCCGAGAAGTGCCGCATGTCCGAAGTGTCTTTTCACCTCCGCAAGGCTAAGCTAGCGTGGATGAGTGCCTACGGTTCGAGGGAAACCAAGCAGACGTGCATGAGCGACTTCCTTTGACGGTTGCAGCGCAGATCGTGTTCAGGCTGACAGGTCGCCAGGGTAGCGTTGGTTTCTTGGGTTTGTGTTATTTGTACGGCGAGTGATGTTTTGATATTGTGAAGCTCTTTTTTTTTCGTTGACTTGTGTTTTTGTCGGGGGTTTAAATCGATGGGATGAGAGGTATGAGGGTGTTATGTTGAGGGTACGGTGGGAGGAAGGGGTGCATTGTGTAAACGGGTGCGTCGTTCTTGAGTGCTGGTGCATTCGTTGCCTCGTGTTGTCCTTCTAGAAGAGGTGCGACTATGAAACACAGCTATAAAACAACTCAACCAAAAACCTTTTACGTGTCCACGTGTAAAATGTGCATCGCTTCACACAACGATGATTTATTTTCCGAACGCAGATCCACCAAAAGCGTACCACGTACAGCAGTACTTGGGTCCACGTGCTTGCCAACCAAGAGAATGAGCGGTGTTTGGAGGTAGCCCGACGTGGTAACGCTAGCTGCGCAAGTGACATGCATGATACGCTCTCTTCATGACCTATTTTGGCATTCGAGTGTAGTCAGTGCGCGAGAGTCCCTGTTTCACGACCTTTAGTTTTGTCTACGATATAAGAGAATATTCTCTTATAGTGAGATACTGTTTAAGAGAATTCTCTCTTATACCGTAGCCAACACAATATAACAGAAAGCCGGATTTAAGAGAGTGAAATTGGCTTGTACCGACCCTCTCTTAAACCGTAGCCGCTACTGTATTAGCATCGACCGCGCTAACCGGCTGACCAATGAAAAGACGTCAGTCTCAGTGAGGCGTGTGTGTGTTTTCGTCCTGTTTATTATGGCGACAGTCTCCCCATTTTTCGTGGTGAGACGTGTACTACAGTTTTCAGCGTATGTAGAGTACTACACTTTTCAGTGTATTTTTTCGTACAACTACAACCATCCAGGGTCACACAAGAGGGCTTAAACACCAGGGCTTTTTTTTTCTTTTCATTTCTTTTCATGCCCCACCTTCCTCCTGCGATGCGTGCTGAATTTTATTTTTATCGCGAGAAGGGTCCAGCCGTCCCTTTCCCTCGTCAACGGAGCTAAGGTCGAATTTTGGTACTCACGAGAGCTTGTTGGATATATTTCGCGTTCACCCGCAAATTTCGTAAATTTTTCACCCCATGGGGATACGATCTCACGACCTCTTCGACAAGCGGATTACGAGGATACCGCTAGACCACCGGGGCGACCGGTTATGTGTACGGAGTACTCTGTATTTCGAACGGTTGGGAGGAAATGGCGGAACACAAAAAATATATGTACTCCTATATATTTGGCTCTTGGCTCTTGGCGCCGCCTCATTTTTGAAAATGTTACTCCGAAAACGGTACTTCTAGTAGATAGATAAGTGCTTCTTTTATCATAGTAGATACCGGTCTCGGGATCGTCTCTCTAGCCGCTGGAGTTCACGTGCAAGAAAAACATGAGCGTGAGGAAAGAAGCAAAAGCGCTTGTACGGGCTTGGATGAATGGATGATTTTCCCACATTGTCAAGTTGTGGATCTTTACAGCAGTAGACTAGACTTTTCCACTTTGCACTTTTGGACCAAGGACATTTACATTATCCTGCTGCATGATCCCTTCTTCGTCTTGCAACTCAAACCCTCAATTTTCGACTTCAGGAGCGCACCGAGGAGGAAGCGATCAACTACAAGAACGCCATCAATCGGTGCTTTCTATCACTACCTGCCATGATTTTGTGGTGTATGGCCGAGACCGTTCTTGGGTCGGTTGAGTACTTTTTCGGCTCAGTTTTTAGCAGTCCATGAAGTCGGCGCCGGCGACTGGAGGTAGGGTTCATGTGTCCAAGCCTAGCACTCTCATCTCCACGCTTTCTCTTACCGAAGGGGTGTACTCTCTCTCTTGGGAGACGAAGGACACTATCCTCGTGCTCCAGGTCCTCCTGGCACCCTATCCTCCACACGCGCGTGGCGGCTGGTCCTTCAGCAAATCAAATACACACAATGGGGGGGGGGCTCCGCTAAACCTGTGCACCCCCCGTTGAAACCATAGAATACCATCCCTTGGACCTCCCCGTGTGCAGAGCAGCCAGCAGCCTGGCAGACACGATTAACACCACAGCACAGCCCCAGCAGAAGAAGGAGCGGTGCTTCACGATGGTCTTGGGTGGGAGGATTTCCGTAGCAACCTTGTTGCTGTCGCTTCCGGCGACAGCATCAGGGTTCCTCATTCCGTCGTTCTGCCGCGGATGCACAGCAGTTCGAGCTTGGTCTTCAGCAGCAGGTAGACACCAATGCACGCCTACATTGTAGTACAAGCAGCAGTTGTAGCCTACCGCGTTATCACGTGACTGAGATGCACCCATGAAGAAACCACACCTCCTCCATAACTACCGCAACGTCGAGTGGTGGTAGTTTTTTCGGCACAAAATGGGTCCGAAACTCAAAACAATACCGGATGAAGGTGGCAATCTATGGATGAAGTAAATAGCCGCATCATGCGCACACAGCCGATGGGTTACAGATGCCACCGCCTGCCGCCCATGGTGCTCGAGGTGAGCGTTAGTGTTGGTATGCAGAAGCGAGCGAGCATGGTTTGGCATCGTGGGTTGATACACGTGCCTGTGTTGGCGACAGCTGAAGAAACACCAGATAGATATTCCCCCAAGCGCAAATAGATCTGTGACTTTTTAAATAACCGCTTACAGCAGTGCCAGCCCTGATCAGCGTAGAGCATTTCTGATGTTCCAAAAGATGCTCCATGCAGCGGTATGCGTAACTCTGCAACAGGTGATTTGTTTTTTTTTCAAAACCATTCGAACCTGTTCACGCAGGCGGCGAGAACGATCGAGCACTAAACGCTCTTGAAACAACCTGCAAGTCTGTACCACCCATGCGGGCTGTCACCAGTAACACAGGTGGCGTCGCTCGTCCGCACTCGTGTAACCACAAGCTGTACGCACAGACACCCCCAGATGATAGATGACCTACATGCCTCCATGAGCTGTCCTTATGTGCATTAAACCGACTGCTGTGCAGCAGCGGATCGACCTCCCTCTGCGGGTGCGGCGCGACGAAGGAGTCGACTGCCCTTGAAAAAGGAGGACCTCCCGGACGAGACGCTTCGGCAGATGGCGGATGCTGGGAGAGCGCTCAAGGAGCTCGAGGAAGAGTACTGGAAGTCCCTCGACGCCGACGAGATCGCTATCGAGAAAAAGTGCGCGGCGGGTCTCGCGTGCCTGAAGGCTGGGATGCTCGAGAAGGGCTGCGAGTACTACACTGCCGCAGCCGATTTAAGGTTTGCGTGTCGACAACGGCCCCATAAGGGCAGGGGGAATCATTGTGGTGTGAGAGGTGAAATCTTTCAGCTTGGCATATTTGCCCGCTGGGTATGCGATCTATGTAGATCTCTGTTAACAGTACGCACACACGAGTGTTCTGCTTCCACCGACTCTAGCGTGGCTTCCCGTGTGTTCAGGCGCGTGTTCTGTTGAAGGTGGACGATTAGCATGGCTGTGACGCCGTCAACGATGTTTTGGGAAAAATCCGGACGCGACGGGAGGCGCACTGTCTGTGGCATCCGGTACTAAATGTAATGGCGAAGCCTTTTGACACTATTGAACTGTTGGCAATATTGAAATTTGTATGTGTAGCGACTTTTCGCCTCATGAGCCTCGAATTCTCATCCCCCCTTCTGTTGCTCCCCCTCCCTCCTTCACGTTCATGCTCAACACGTACCACCGACTGAAATCCTGTCTGCTCCCTTGCCCCCCCCCGCGTGTCCCCTTCACAGCCCACCGTCCTCGCGCACTTGGCCATTGGGAGTAGTTCTCTATTACCTCGGGCGATACGAAGAAGCAGCAGTAAGGCTGGACACAGACATCAGATCCTTCGAGAAGCAGTTCGAGGAATGCGCAACGGACGAACGAATCTGGCAGGTGATTCGGACATCCACCTACATATTCACAATCGCAAGTGCTTGTGCGGGCATTGAACTTCCCTTTTAATTCCCTAGGGTCCCACTACTCCACTCTGAACATTTGCATAAACTGAATACAGACAGCACACTTCACATCGCGTAAGAATTTGAGAGTTCAAGTTGTTGAAGCTGGTCGACTCGTTCTTGTCCCTTGAAAGGCGGCGGCATGGATTCGAGGAGCACGGGAGGCAGGGGCAGACGTGGAGCAGGTCGCGGCGGCCTTGCCCCCGCTCCCAATTTCGGAGCCGAACGCGCTCCGCAGGACCGTGTACAACGTGAGACTTTTTTTTGCTGTATAGTCGTTGCGTACCGTGTTTGGTTTTGAATGGCCATTTTCCTCGTCTTGTTGCCCATTTTATTTTTTACTGCGGTACCAGTACGTAGAAGCCGTCCGTGTTGCTTGACCGCACACTATACTTGATGTGCCTATTTCGCCATCGCCCCTGAGACCACGTTGCTTCTCCTTGTTGGAAGTCTGTTGCTTCACGTACGTTGTTGTGAAAGATGCTGATGGACATGATGGGGCATCGAAATCTTGCATGGGGAGCCGTTTCAGCTGCGCTTCTCTCGTTCTTGGTATCGATTGTTAATGCTGCAAATGCATCTGCGCGCTTTTTTGCAGATGTTTCGCGGGGGAGCAACCCCTGAAGACGTCCAACAGGTTGCCAAATTGGGCGCTGGCGGAATCGACTACTTCGGCGTGGATTTTTTCTCCGAGGTGTTCTTGGGGCTTTATCACGATGCGCACGGGAACGAGGTGAGATGGCAGACGATAGCCGTGGTGTTTTAATGGCTCTTTTGATTCTGCATTTCATGTGCCGCCAAGCAGCACGACCTCGTTGCGTGACACGCATAGAATACAAAACCGTTGCCACGTCGACCTGGCGAACGCGAAACGGTCTAGAAGTCAACCCTCTTTCTCCTGCACCCGTCCGTTGCTCCCTCGCTCGTGCTCACCAACGGCATCATCTAGTTCGAAGCGGAGACGTACATCCTGGCGGCGTGCGGAAACACGTACCCTAATCCCGACGACCTGTGGTACCACACGCCCAGGATACATGCCAAGGCTCGAAAGTGGACGATTCCAGGGTAGCAAGCACTATAGGCGTAGAACATAGCTTTTAGTACATTGTTTAGTCTCTGTGGGGTGGCAGCTTTCCTGATCAAGAAAATGTCGCCGAACTAGATGATTCTCTTTGTTTGCGGTTGAATGTGCGCCAAGTTTGTTTGCCTGAGGCCCGGAGTGACTGACACAGGCACAGAGAGATTTTGCCAGGCAAAGTGCATTGTAATGTTGATGATATCACCAAAAGTGTTTCGGAAGGCTGAACTCAAGCCAAGCTCAGCATTACAGAAGATGCACCAATGCAAATGTGCCGCAGCAACTGAACAGATCGAATGACAATGGTCACATGGCCGTTTGACGACAAATCGATGTGTGTCATTTGGTGTTGGTAACCAGCAAGGCAGCACGACATCGACAAGCTGGTCGTTGTCGATGACTGATTCCGGGCGACGAACATGCATACGGCGAGCAGTTCGCTTGAACCAACCGTGCTGATCATGAAAATTGAGTGAAACGAACCAGAGCATGGGGGGAGAAATTCTGCAGATAGGTCGGGGTCTGTTTACCTGTGGACCTTGGCCCCTACCGGTCAGACCGGAGCCAATGTAACCGGTCGTACTTTTCGGAGCTATTGGCAAGAATGACCCCAGCCGTCGTGGCACGCATGATCGTTCCTGGTTAAGATTTGGTTGGCTTGCCCGACGACGATCCTCGAATGCTACGCAAAAATCGCCGGCGGAGCGCCGTATCAATCTCGCACGAAATGCCCGTAGCAGTGCGAGCCACACGCCTACAGTCTGTGACGGTCGGTCGAACTGATTACACGTTCGCACACCTCAAGTAACATACAACGCTTCCAGGAGACATCATTCAAAGGACGCCGTACTTACCCAAATAGGGTGCCCTAACACGAGGAAACATGTAGTTCTCCCGAAACTATCAATACCCGCACACCTTTCAGCACTAGGTAACAATTTTGTGTCTCAACTCCACCTTGACACTTGCAAAGGTGGGGACGGACACTATCAACTTTTACAAGTGCAACATCTTCCACAATGCGGTCACGCCTGCTCGGTGACTCGGACGTGGCATCATCCTTGTTACCTTCCTCACCAGAGAAATTACGCCTGGGATACACGCCTCGACACGAAAACCTCCTGTGCTCTCTGCCTTTCTTGTCGTGCCAAAAGTACAGCTCTTGCCTCTTCAACCTCTACCACCCCGCCTCCTGTTGCCGGTTCTTCGTTGTCCTCGCCGCCGTTGCCGTGGACAGCTCGGTGCAAGACCGCCGCAGCGCGGGCCCTCCTCTCCACCCTTGATCTCTTCCTTGAATTGCGCCCCCGATCGGACCTCGTTTTCGTTGACGGCAGCTGCTGGTTCAATCCCGGCGTCGCCACCGCTCGCCTTGCCCTACCTTCTTCGTCCTCATCGTTGTCGCTGGTGGGCCTTTTACTCCTGCTGTTGATCGTCGCAACAACGTCCCCCCCCGCGGTGGTCGCTGTTCCGCCGACGGTCGCCTCTGAGGCGTCCTCGATACGCTTGAGATTCGCCTGTAGGGTCGCGCGATGGCGTTCCAGGGCGGATACCTCGGAACGTAAAGAGCGTACGAGCTCGTGCGCGTCCGTGGCCGACTGGACGACGTCGTCGATGGAAGCGATGGAATGTCCGTAGCCGCCCTGACCGGGTGACATCGTGTTTGTTGTCTGTTCGTGGCATGAGAACGGGGGTTTCAGGGTGGAGGCGGCGCATTTTTGTTTTTTTACGAGCATGAGAACCACAGCGAACGTAGACGGCAGCGCCCGTTATCATTACGCACCTCGTTGTTTCAACGCATTTACATGCAAAAGCAGACAAACCAATGTCGGTAAACATGCCGAGCAACACAGTAACGTATTGTTGCTGGACCTGTCGTAGATACGACGAAGTCAGACAATAGTGGCTGTTTCGAGGTCGGCATGGAAAGGCAAGCCAGTCTACCCGCGGCGTATGCGGCTGCATCGTGTGGTCAAAACCCGGCCGACCCCTAACAACATGTGTGCATTAGTGGTGTACCTCGACAAGGACTCCTTCCTCCCGCAAGGAAAACCCCCTCCGACCCGTCCCCTCTTCTCCTTGCCTGGCAGCCCCCGCCGAAACATTGCGCGGAACGTCGAAGTCCGTTCGGCCTGAGGAATGGGGAACACCACCACTTCTCAACGCGGTCTCCAGGCGCTGAACCTCGTGCGACAAGCGGTGAATGTGCGTTCTATGGCACCGTGGTACGTGCGGGTAGAAGGGAGGGTTGGAGGCAAGAAGACCGGTAAGCGCATGCAGATAAAGCATCAAAATATCGGACAAGTGGTGGAGATGAGAGTACCAGCTCCAGAACAAACCAGTCTACAGTAGGCTGCTTGCGCCGGGCAATCATGTTCCTTGGCAGAAATAATCACCGCGTGCTCGGTTCGGCTCGTGAAGAGCTAAGAGGATTTTTTGCCCCGCGACTCCCGGCGACGGGAGCCCCAGCATACAGGAGGGTGTTGCCGTTGCCACCCGCGCACCGTTCGATCATATGGTCAGGATGCGAGACCCATGTACCATAGTACAAGTGAAGCATAACGTCGCGTTCTCGAGAATCGTTCGTCTCCCCCTTGCCCCATTCGCCCCTTCAAGAGGTAGATCAAGTTTCACGTAAGGTGCACAATAGATCTTCTCTCAACCCGTCTTCGCTCGAGCAGGCTACAGGAAAGCTCCTTAGTAATCGCAACAGCTTGCCGCGACCAGGCATCTGGGGGGTAGCCACCGGCCAGTCACCAACCGCACCTCGCCTCCTCTCCGGCGGCTGCCATTTGCCTCAACAAAAACTCCCCAGCCTTTCTCCTGGATTCACGTCGCTTTCCACCATCCTTGTGGCGCAAGAGCTGTGGTGCCCCATCAGTGTTGCGCCCTGTGGACACAGACGCTAGATCGCTGTATAAGCTCGACAGTCTTGTGCGGGGGGCCGGGTAGGAACAGAGGGAGTTTGGAGTTAGATCAGCTCGGTCCCAAGCTGCGAGAACGATTAGATCGCTCGGTATCAGGTAGAGAGTGGACAAGCGACATTGAGTGCCTGTCGTGGCAAGGGAAGCGCTTGTCGAAGGACTTGCGTTGATTATTAATATGTATCGCGAATCGAAGCCGAGCAACAAAATTTGTACTTTCACGATGCTCGTGTGTGTCATCTAGAAAGACATGTCCCGCACAACATACAAAGTTCAGAAATAGTGTGATTGTGAAGTGAACCAACCTACCTGCGATCTCTTTCGTCGAGCAGGTCGAGCAGTATCGCCGCGAGCTTCTTTCCTTCGTTGGTAGAAGCTCTTGGTTCTGACCCCTCTCCTCTTTGGAGCACATTTGTTAGCCTGAAATAGAGGGATAAACACGCTGAAGTAAACGCCCAAGAGATTGCAGGTGGGTAGAGTCAGCAGTTCAACAAGCTTTCCATACGACGAGCACGCCACGCACCATTTAGTTGTCTGCGATGGCATGCTCACAGCGAAGGAAAATAAACTATTTTGTCCCAAGGGTATGTAGTCACCGCAGACCGGAAGCAGCGCACACCTCACTTGCTGAGAGCAAGAGACGCCGAGCAACGCAAGCAAAAAAGTAACCATACGATAAACCCACCGGCGTTGCATCGCTTCACACCGGACACGCCACTGCTCAGACTCCACTCTTGCGCGTTTTAGGTCTCGTCCTTTGCTGGCCACGTAAGCTCTTAGACGACGGGCACCCTCGCCCTAGAGGTTGGGAGAGACCGAAGCGGGGGAACAACGTAGGGGTTTTGGTTTGGTGAGATTCGCGTGGACAACCAACTAAGAAGGAATCTGTATCTCGAATCATCACCATTTGCTGCAAGTGCAAGGTCTCACGTTTCGACGGCAGACGACTCCCCTGGTTGTGCTTGCGTTTTAATGCATGGTGTCGGTCTCGTACGCAACACGGAAAGAACGTGCACCTATAACTGAGACCGTCTACAAAACAATGCGTCAACACAAACGAGCATGAAACCAAGATCGGACAGAGTCTTCCCGTTGCAAGCAACAACTATTTTGAATGCACCGTTCCGAAACACACCTGCAGCGCGACCATCCCGATCCCGCCTGTCCCTCCTCCCAGAAACACCTCCGGCTCGTGCCCCGATATTTCCTGCTTTTCTTCTTCGTGCTCGCCCACATGCCCGCCTCCCCCATGATTAGAATGTCTCACTGACGCCTTTCGAGCCCTCCGCTTGCTGCCCACGGCAAGGCCGGCTATTCTGTCGAGTTGTTCACCGAGGTCTGCGTCAGCTTGAGCGAGCTGCAGGCGGACGGCGCGGGTTTCTTTCTCCCGCTTGAGGACGGCGTTTGCCCAGTCGTCTTGGAGAAGAATGGCGAGGGCGCGCGTCTTTTTGTCGAGCTCTCGTGCATGCCTCGCTGCCTGCGCGTGAAATGTTCGAAAGAACGGGGGTGGAAGTATTCTGCTAGTCTGGTCTGAAGTTGATCGATCCTCGAAGAACCACGTCAACATGTCAAGGCAAACAAGAGACAGAAGAACCGATGGTGGCAATAGCCACACGTGCGGCTGTCGTGTGCTCGTACAGGAACCACCGCGTTCGCCAAAATTTGTTTTCTGTGCTCCAATGACGGAGCCACGACCGTAGTACCGACTGACACACCCGAACGTACGACCCCCGCGTCTGAATACTTGTTTGTGGAGTAGAAGGATTTCTGGTGGCCACGTACATTCGACCACGGTATGTGCCGCAAACGCTTATCGATCATATTAAAGAAACACTCCCATGACCGCCGCGACGCCTGAATACGGCGCAAATTGTGACCTATTCCGGCGTGCATCAAAATTTGTATTTGAAACGTAAGCCCAACTCAAACGTAGAGCAAATCGTGGCGGGGGTGGCGCCAACATAGCACTCCTGATCACGAACGCTGCAGGAAAGAGCGCGAGGAAACGGTTCGATAGTTCAACGACTTTGACGGGTCAACTTTTCTTTGCATTATTCCCGGTCATCATTGTCCAGAATGAGCAGTGCTTTTCAGGTGGCTCAACGGGGGTTGTCTCTCACCAACCCCTGCAGACGGCGTAGCTGACGCTCTCGTGCTACCTCCTCCGTATCTTTGACCTTGAGCTGCAGTTCGGATGCCAATTCCGACCCACGGGCGGCCTCCCGTTGTGCTTTCTCTCGTGTCTCGGCAACCTCCGCGCTGGCGGCGGCCGCTCTCCTCCACGCCTCAGCCTTGTCGGCGGCCGCTTTCGCTTCCTTCTCCATCGCCTCAGCTCGGGCAGCCCTAGCCGCAGCGGTAGAGGCGGCGGCGGCCCCCTCGGCGGCAGACAGCGATGCGGCGTGCAGGCAGAGACGGCTCCACCCTCGGAATATGAGAGCCCTGTCTTTCTCATGGCACACGCGAACAACCTAAGGAGAAAAGTGTACTAAAAGTAAGGCTGGTGCCAAGAGCATTGCCGTGGTTACGCAAAGTTCTTGATGTTGCTTGAAATACAACGTTGGATCAACATCTGGCGGCCTTGGTTGAGATCGGTTGACCGACATATCTGTGCGTCTCACCAGCATCTTCAGACGGTGTAGTTGATGCTCCCGCGCCATCTTCTCCGTGTCCATATCCTTCTGCTTCAGTGCCGTTGTCAGCGCCGATACTTCGTGTGTTCCTCGCTGTGCTTTCTCCCGTGCCTCGGCAACCTCCACGCTGGCGGCGGCCGCCTTTTTCCACGCCTCACCCTTGTCGGCAGCTGCTTTCGCCTCCTTCTCCATCGCCTCAGCTCGGGCAGCCCTAGCCGCAGCTGTAGCAGCGGCGGCACCCCCCTCGGCGGCAGACAGCGATGCGGCGTGCAGGCACAGTCGGCTCCAACCGCGGAACATGAGGGCCCTGTCACTCTCGCCACACACTCGGATTATCTTGGCAGGCAAGGATGGGAGAAGGCGAAACGGGGGGTGGGACGGAAGGTAGTACTCGTTAGGTGTAGTGGGCTAAGGAATAATAATTTCCTACCTTGAGACACGGTACCGGTTCATGGCTTCCGGCAGTGTGTTTGGCTCACCACCGGCAGTATGTTTGTCTCGCTACCATATCGATATGATGCTATAGAAATCGGAGGAATTGTTCACAAGGCGATGTTCTCACCAGCATCTTTATTCGTCGAAGCTGGTGCTTTCGCACTACCTCATCGGTGTCTTTGACCTTCGGCTGTAGCTCAGACGCCAATTCTGAACTACGAGAAGTCTCCCGTTGCGCCTGCTCCGTCGCCGCGGCCACCTCTGCGCTCGCCGCGGCCGCTCTCCTCGACGCCTCGGCCTTATCGGCAGCCGCTTGCGCCTCCTTCTCCATCGCCTCAGCTCGGGCAGCCCTGGCCGCAGCGGTGGCGGCGGCTGAGGCCCCCTCGGCCGCAGACAGCGATGCGGCGTGAAGACACAGCCGGCTCCACCCTCGAAACTTGAGGACCCTGTCTCTGTCGCCGCAGAAGCGGAGAATCTTGACGGTACGAATACAATGAACGGCACCGGAGGGCGGGGTAGGGGAAGTCAGCCCGTGCACTACACAGCGAAACCACGTACGCTGTAACTATGAGCATCAGATACCGTTTCAATAGTGGGACGACTCCAACCGGCGAGGAGCCCTCTTTCCATGCACCCGTCCCACCAAAATGGAATGGATAGAGTACCCACAAGCAGTAGTTCCACTGGGGTTGCCTCTCACCAACATCTTCAGGCGATGTAGTTGACGATCTCGCACTGCTTCCTCCGTGTCGTTCACCTTGAGCTGCAGCTCAGCAGCCAATTCCGACCCACGGGCGGCCTCCCGTTGGACTCTCTCTCGTGCCTCAGCAACCTCCACGCTGGCGGCGGCCGCTCTCCTCCACGCCTCAGCCTTGTCGGCGGCCGCTTTCGCCTCCTTCTCCATCGCCTCAGCTCGGGCAGCCCTAGCCGCAGCGGTGGCGGCCGCGGAGGCCCCCTCGGCGGCAGACAGCGATGCAGCGTGCAGGCAGAGACGGCTCCACCCTCGGAATATGAGGGCCCTGTCACTCTCGCCGCACACGCGAGAGATCTTGATTGGCAGCAGCGACGAGGAGGGGAATGCGGCGATAGTGAGAGTGGGGAGAAGAAACACAGGCGAGGCTTGCATGCCTGGCCAATGTCGAGAGTACGACGTGTGAGATTCATACACCTCTCGTCCCCATTCTCTATTATCAACTGAAATGTACCCCGTGTGCCACAGAGTTATCCAGTGGAGGCTGTCTCTCACCAGCATCTTCAGACGACGTATCTGATGTTCTCGCAATTCCTCCTCCGTGTCTTTGACCTTGAGCTGTAATTCAGATGCCGACATCGACCCACGGGCGGCCTCCCGCTGTGCTCTCTCTCGTGCCTCGGCAACCTCCACGCTGGCGGCGGCCGCTCTCCTCCACGCCTCAGCCTTGTCGGCGGCCGCTTCCGCCTCTTTCTGCATCGCCTCAGCTCGGGCAGCCCTAGCCGCAGCGGTGGCGGCGGCAGAGGCCCCCTCGGCCGCAGACAGCGATGCGGCCTGCAGACAGATGNTCTCGCAATTCCTCCTCCGTGTCTTTGACCTTGAGCTGTAATTCAGATGCCGACATCGACCCACGGGCGGCCTCCCGCTGTGCTCTCTCTCGTGCCTCGGCAACCTCCACGCTGGCGGCGGCCGCTCTCCTCCACGCCTCAGCCTTGTCGGCGGCCGCTTCCGCCTCTTTCTGCATCGCCTCAGCACGGGCAGCCCTAGCCGCAGCGGTGGCGGCGGCTGAGGCCCCCTCGGCCGCAGACAGCGATGCGGCCTGCAGACAGATGCGGCTCCACCCTCGGAACATGAGGGCCCTGTCACTCTCGCCGCACACGCGAGCGATCTTGTTTATCAGCAACGATTAGGAAGGAAGTGCGGCGATAGCGAGAGCGGTCAGAGGAAGCACAGGCGAGGCGAGAACGTCTGACTAACGGCAAGAGTAGTGTGCGATGCGCGAGACTGGAAGGCCTCTCAATACTGTCCACTGGAATATTCTGCGTACCACGCGTAGAGTTGTCCAGCGGAGGCTGTCTCTCACCAGCATCTTCAAACGATGTAGTCGATGCTCTCGCGCTACCTCCTCCGTATCCTTGACCTTGAGCTGCAGCTCAGATGCCAATTCCGACCCACGAGCGGCCTCCCGTTGTGCTTTCTCCCGTGCCTCGGCAACCTCCACGCTGGCGACGGCCGCTCTCCTCCAAGCCTCAGCCTTTTCGGTGGCGGCTTTCGCCTCCTTCTCCATCGCCTCAGCTCGGGCAGCCCTAGCCGCAGCGGTGGCGGCGGCGGAGGCCCCCTCGGCGGCAGACAGCGATGCCGCGTGCAGACAGAGACGGCTCCACCCTCGGAACATGAGGGCCCTGTCACTCTCGCCGCACACGCGAGAGATCTTGATATGTAGCATCGATTGGGACGGAAGTGCGGCGATAGTGAGACCGGTGAGAGGAAGCACAGGCGAGGATTGCACATCTGGCCAATGGCGAGTATAGCATACGATGTAGGGGACCCACACGCCCCTCGTCCGTCTCTACTACTGCCTACTCAAATATGCCAGGCATGCCCTGGGGTTTCCAGTGGAGGCTGTCTCTCACCAGCATCTTCGGAAGACGTAGCTGACGCTCTCGCGCTACCTCCTCCGTGTCTTTGACCTTGAGCTGTAGCTTGGATGCCAATTCCGACCCACGGGCGGCCTCCCGTTGTGCTTTCTCTCGTGTCTCGGCAAATTCCGCACTGGCGGCGGCCGCTTCCGCTTCCTTCTCCATCGCCTCAGCTCGGGCAGCCCTAGCCGCAGCGGTGGCGGCGGCAGAGGCCCCCTCGGCCGCAGACAGCGATGCGGCCTGCAGACAGAGACGGCTCCACCCTCGAAATGTTAGCGCCCTGTCTCTTTCGCCGCACACGCGAATGATCTAGATTTTTAACAACGATTAGGACGGGAGTGTGGCGACAGCGGTGAGAGTGGTGAGAGGAAACCAGGAGAGGTTTGTGTATCTGGCCGACGGCGAGACGTGCAGTTTTACGATTACGAGACTTGAAGGCCCCTCATTTAATGTCTACTGAATATGCCACGTACGCCGCAGAGTTATCCGGTGGAGGCTGTCTCTCACCAGCATCTTCAGACGGTGCAGCTGATGCTTTCGCAATGCCTCCTCCGTATCCTTGACCTTGAGCTGTAATTCAGATGCCGACATCGACCCACGGGCGGCCTCCCGTTGTGCTTTCTCTCGTATCTCGGCAACCTCCACGCTGGCGGCGGCCGCTCTCCTCCACGCCTCAGCCTTGTCGGCGGCCGCTTTCGCTTCCTTCTCCATCGCCGTAGCTCGGGCAGCCCTAGCCATAGCGGTGGCGGCGGCGGCGGCCCCCTCGGCGGCAGACAGCGATGCGGCGTGCAGGCAGAGACGACTCCACCCTCGGAACATGAGGGCCTTGTCACTCTCGCCGCACGCGCGAGCGATCTTGATTTTCAGCATCGATTGGGACGGGAGTGTGGCGACAGCAGTGAGAGCGGTGAGGGGAAGCAAAGGCGAGAATTTTGTGCCTGGCCAACGGCGAGATGTATACGATGCACGAGACTTGAAGGTCTCTCAATACTGTCTACTCGAAATATGCCCCGTATGCCACAGAGTCGTCCAATGAAGGCTGTCTCTCACCAACATCTTCAGACGGCGTAGCTGATGCTCTCGCACTACCTCCACCGTGTCGTTGACCTTGAGCTGTAGCTCAGATGCCAATTCCGACCTACGAGCGGCCTCCCGTTGTGCTTTCTCTCGTGCCTCGGCAACCTCCACGCTGGCGGCGGCAGCCTTTCTCCACGCCTCAGCCTTGTCGGCTGCCGCTTTCGCCTCCTTCTCCATCGCCTCAGCGCGGGCGCTCCTGGCCGTAGCTGTGGCGGCGGCGGCGGCCCCCTCGGCGGCAGACAGCGATGCGGCGTGCAGGCAAAGCCGGCTCCAACCGCGAAACATGAGGGCCTTGTCACTCTCGCCACACACTCGGATTATCTTGGCAGGCAGTAGTGGGAAATTACGTAACGTGTGGGGGGAGTGATGAGCACAAACGTCGAGGGGGCTTGTGTATGCAGTTGGCAGTGAGAGTACAACGAGCAAAACAACAGACGAGACGAGAAACACCACTCTACACTGCTCCCATGTACCGTATATCCTACTGTACTGAAACGTGCCATGTACGCGCGAAGGTATACAACAGCGGCTGTTTCTCACTAGCATTTTCGTTCGGCGCAGCTGGTGCTGTCGCAATGCCTCCTCCTTGTCTTGGATGTTGAGCTGTAGCTCAGATGCCAATTCCGACCCACGAGCGGCCTCCCGTTGTGCTTTCTCTCGTGCCTCAGCAACCTCCACGCTGGCGGCGGCCGTCTTCCACACCTCGGCCTTTTCAGCGGCCGCTTCCGCCTCTTTCTCCATCGCCTCAGCTCGGACAGCCCTGGCCGCGGCGGTGGCGGCGGCGGAGGCCCCCTCCGCGGCAGACAGCGATGCGGCATGTAGACAGAGCCGACTCCAACCACGGAACAAGGATCTCCTGCCCGTGTCGCCACACGCTCGAGCAATCTGAGAAGGAAGCAACGAGGCGACGAAGAACCATAGTTTGTATCCCACAGTGAGACAACCGTTTGGAGCATGTGGTGCGCGGAACAAGCATCCAAGAACCTGTCGCTCGAGTGCGTTGATGTTCCTGTCCCTATGGTGGATGTTTGTGTCCCTGGTGGGTTTTAACTTAGTTGCACCTTCACCGACCGGGCTCTTCCTTCACCTTTGCCACTGCCCTAAGTCGCTTCAGCTCCTTTTCCCGATTGCTTCGCTCAAACCCCTCCTCTTCGACGGCGCCAATCGACGAAATAGCCATTGCGGCCCCCTTCTCCTCTACGTCAACTTGAACAGCTCTTGCAGCGGGTGTTGCCGCTGCAGATGACCCCTTGACCGCGTTGAGCGAGACGAAGTACGAACACAGGCGACCCCAGCTACGGAACATGAGGCGCCGGTTTCTATTGCCAAGCACCCTAGTCACCTGAACGTTCGGGGAGTATCGAAGTGTGGGAAATCTTCGTTGGAGCCAATGTCGCGTGGCCCATTGTGATCGACATCCCGCTTTTCAAAGGGTGGTAGAACGAGGTAGACCATGTTGGTCCAATGCAGTTGCACTGCTGCAAATGCCAGCAGGTGCCGCTCAAAGCGTAACCTTACAGTAGTACACAACTGAATACATGCGTGGGGTTAATGCATCTTGACATCGAGACCAGGTCTATTCGTCACCAAGAACAGTTCTGACCTCTACCCAGCGCTCCTTGTATACTAATTCGACGGGCGATCTAATACTCGTCGTCGATGGCGAGCCGAATCTCGTGTGGCACAGGAATGATCAGCGAAAGTCTGGGAGAAAACAGCAACACAGGGACAACCCGCCTGTGGGAGTTCCTAGGGCATTGGGAGGACGTCCTTCGGCCCATCAAACGCTCCGACATACGTGCACGTTACAGCGGTTAAAGCTGCCAGCGTGGCTGTGTGGTGGTCTCGGCCTGTCATTCTCTACCGTCTCTGCTCTCCTGAAACGTTCGACGAATCGTTCAGCCGATGAACTCTTGCAATATTCTGTTTTCACAGACACAGCGACGGTCTACAGAGAAAATACGGCGTGACGCTTCGTGTACGATATGCAGGACGGCGCCTCCCCCGAACTTCGCTGCTGGCCTTGGGTAAATCTACGAACCGCCGTCGCCTCATAGATGATTCTCCTACGGTCGACGTCAGTGAAGCGTCAAGGTCAGGACTCTTGGTCTAGACGGGGAATTTTTAAGTCACGCACCGTGTACTCACCAATCGAGCGGCTAGCTGTCGTTTTTGGTTGTCGACAGCCTTTACAGCTTCCTGTGCTCTCTTCACAAGGGTCGCCGGCATCACCGATTCTCCGTCGGCCTTTTCCGATGCCTTGGCTTGTTCTGCAGGTGCATGTTCTGACTTCTGCATGACATCCGACCTGGTTATCGCTTCCGCGGCCTTCGATGACCCCTCGGTGATGTGGAGAAGCGCCGAGTGTCGGCAGAGCTGACTCCAACCGTGGAAGAGAAGTCGTCGGTTGTAGTTCCGACCTGCGCTGCAGATCTGCGGTCGGGCCGAGATTAAAACACACACACCTAACGTGAAATTCGTGCGTATGATGGATGGAGTCCGACAACAACACCGCTACCCTGCTGTGATTTCATCGATTGTCAGTACGTCCGAGTGCGGGCGTCAAGGTGTTTTGCACCACTCTAATTGTCCCTGTCAATTGGTGGTGGAGAAAGCGATAAAGATAGCCAGGCGACCGACGCTTACCATCTGCAGTGCCCTCCGCTCCCTCTGGTCTCTCGCTTCCGACTCCGCCGCTGCCACGCGTTGTCGAACCACGGCGGCGTCTGTCTCGATTTCGGCGGCCGTTGCGGCTGCAGCGGCCTGCGTCGCTTCTGCCTCCGCTCTGGCGGCCCTCGCGGCTGCAGTGGCCGTCGCTGATACGGCATCGGCGGCGTTGAGAGACGCGGCGTGCAAGCACAACCGGCTCCACCCTCGGAACAGCAAGCGCCTGTCTTTGTCCTTACAGACTCGAGATATCTGAGCGCAGAAGCGACGAGAGCAAGACAGCGTGGTACGCATGGCGTGTGGGTGCAGCGTGGGCCAGGTCCGCGATGTTCTTCACAAAGACTCGATGGTTACACTCCTACAGGTCATCCGTGTGATATCGACTCACAACCCAGCAATATTCCGAGTAGACGACGGCTCGCGTGACCTCTCGTGATGGTAGCCGACGCAGTCCACGCGGCACGTCCGGGGCTTCATGAACTCAGCTTGCTTCGTAACAAGCGATCGTGAATTGAGTGTCAACGACACCCTCTCAAAGGAGTTTCATTTTGTGTTACATAAAAAAAACGGGGGCAAATGGCTCAAGCGTGCGCTTGGAGGGAATGGGCTCTACAAACCGTTTGCAGTTCCAATCGAGGTTTGAGTCGTTTCGGTTTCAACTTCGACAGTCACATGCGCCAAGCGCATGGTGTCTCACTGTCCTCGTCCGAAGCCGTTTCGTCTCCTGCTCCTCCTCGCGTCTCCGCTCTGTCGCCGGTTTCGCTTCGACCGCGTCAGTCGGCGAAGCTGCTGCCGCTGCGGTCCCCGTTTCCTGGGCCTCCACCCTCACCGCCCTTTCAGTGGGTGCTGCCGCTGCAGATGACCTCTCCACGGCGGCGAGCGAGGCGGCGTGCGAACGGAGGCGGTCCCAGCTGCGGCATAGGAGGCAGCGGTTCCTATCGCGGAGCACTCTAGCAACCTAGCGATGCGGGAGGGGAGTGAAAGTACAGCATGTGTCATGCTAAAGCCAGATCTTCAATGGCTATCTTTCGTCGGTATCGCCAATTACAGAGGGTCGTGGAAATAGCTCGATTCGTAAGGTGCATTGCAGCCACCTCTGTGCAGCCGCAGCACGATATCGCCATGAGCAGGCATCACAATGGGTGCACGATGTTGGAGGTGAGATCGTCGTACTCTTGCTGTCATACATTCAGCGTGCTGTTCACGAGAACATCAATATGTTCACATGTTCTGGCCTTGTCCTGACATTCCACCTCTCCCACTTGTCGTGGTCCTCCTCGCTGTGTTCACGTTTTCGACGCGGTTTTGGCCTTTCCGATCTTCTCCGTAATCCCTCGACCGCCGCATGTTATTTCATCCATGGTCGGCGGGGAGTCAAAAGCTCTTGTGGCACACGAACGACGTGCGACAATGCTGAAAGAACTTGCAACACAGGACAGCCTGCCTGTGAGGGCCTCGAGATTGCATCGATATGCGAGGATGCCCGTCGGCCCACCTCATAAACAACATGTGGCGCAAGCTACGGAGGATGAAGCTGTCAGATGATGGCTGTGTGGTGGTCTCGACCTTGTACACGGCTTTCTCTTCCAACGGGTCGCGGTTGAAACATGCGCTCAACGTGAGATCGCGGGTATGACGGGCAGGGTCAGACAACAGGACCGCTACACTACTGCCACATCATCGATTGCTATTGAGTCCGCGTACGAGCGTAGAAGTGTTTGACATCACTCTACCTTATCCCGTCGTCGGTGAAGATTACACAACGGCCGACTGATAGCACAGGGTGCTAGCGAAAATCCACTTCTCCTGCATGGTTTCGAAATCAGGGAAGAGACAATACACCGTGCTCCGATAGACCCAGCTTCAATAGTGGTGACAAGCGAAATGTTGAGATAGTCAAATACCTCACCAGCTGCAGTGCCCTCCGATCCCTCTGATCTCTCGCTTCCGACTCCGCCGCTGCCACGCGTTGTCGAACCACGGCGGCGTCTGTCTCGATTTCGGCGGCCGTTGCGGCTGCAGCGGCCTGCGTCGCCTCCGCCTCCGCTCTGGCGGCCCTCGCGGCTGCGGTGGCCGTCGCTGATACGGCATCGGCAGCGTTGAGAGACGCGGCGTGCAAGCAGAGCCGGTTCCACCCTCGGAACAGCAAGCGCCTGTCTTTGTCTATGAAAACTCGAGAAATCTGGGGCGTACGAGCGACGGAAAGCATGATGTACGGGTGCGGTGTGGTTCGAGTCCGCAAGCTTCACTGAGGTTCGATAGTTACATTCCACGGGTACCCGTGAAATGTCGACTCACACCTCAGCAGCATGTCGGAATAGACGACGGCTCGGGTAATTTTCGTGATGGTAGCCGAGGCGGTCCACGTGGTACATCCAAGGCCCCATGAACTAAGGTTGTGCCGCATACAAGCGACCATGGATGGAGGGTCAACGACAGGCGATTTGAAAGTATCCATATCGTGGTGTTGCCCTTATTGGTCTTTGAGCACCATCGCGCTGACTCCGATTCTTTCAATTCGGCGTTGTTCAAACATTTCGGTGTGGCATGAGACGGTACCCCTCATTCAAACATGGCCCGATATGCCGCTAGATGGCTCTCAACATCGTTTCACTCGGGGTGCTGCCTAGGATACCCCACGAGTTGGCATTTCTATTGAAAAACATGGTAAAATGGCCCAACCGTAATATGGGCCGAGATATGTTCTGCACACATGGTTCAAACTCTGTTAGCTGTTCGCCTTCAACTTCTGTATTCATACATCTCCGTATATCCTAAGGCAGCCGGTGATTGATCACCCGTTGTCCGCAGGAGCTGGGTCTCGTGTGGCAGACGAATAGTTTGCGAACGCACTGGGCGAAATTTCAACACGAGCACAGCCTGCCTGTGCGGGCACCGAGAGCTTATCGATATGCGACGACCCCCGTCGGCCCTTCAAACATCTCGAAAACAACTTTTTGATGCAAGCTACAACGGATAAAGCCACCAGCCCGTGGCTGTGTGGTAGTCCTGGTCTTGTGCGTGGATTTCTCTACCATCTTCTCTACACCTAAAACGCGCGACGCGCAACCAACGAGTTTATCCTCTCGGGCACTGCCACGTGCCCCTGGGCACAACCGTGTGATGACATGAAGGATAGGGTTTCCATGAACTTTTGCTGCTAACCTAGCACTGCTTGAAAGGGCGAGTTCTACAGTCTTCCATCACCTCTCGGGCGTTTCTGTGACGGCCGACGTCATAAAAGCCTCCCGGCCAGGACTTCCTGACACCTGAGTCAAACGGTTGCTCCATTCCATGCAAGGGTGTACTCACCGTTCGAGCGGCTAGCTGCCTGCTTTGCTCGTCGACTGCCTTTTCAGCTTCCTGTGCTCTCTTCACAAGGGTCGCCGCCATCGCCGAGTCCCCGTCGATCTGATCCGAAGCATTGGCTCCTCCTGCAGGTGTACGTACCGTGTTCTCCAAGACATCTGCCCTAGCGATTTGAGGTGCTGCAGGATAAGCATCCGCCGAGAGTCCTTCTGCGCCACCTATGAATGCAGCGTGCCGGCAAAGCCGACTCCAGCCGTGGAAGAGAAGGCGCCTGTTATAGTCCCGACCTGTGCTGCAGATCTGCAGTCGGGTCACGATTGAAACACCGCACCGAACGTGAGACACATGGATATGGTCGACGGGGTCGGACATTATCGAGGCCAATGCTCTACTACCACGTCATCGGTTGCTAGTGGGGCCGAGCATGCGTGTAAGTGTTTTGGCACCACTCTACCATACCCCGTTGTACGCGCATATCACACAAAGGCCGACTGATGGCACCGTGCGCTGGCAAAAAGTTGCTTCTCCTGCATAGTTTCGACGTCGTAGGAAACACATGCACCGCGCTCCCATAGACCCAGCTGCCATGGTTATGGAGCAAGGGAACTGGGTTGCCAGCCCGACCACACTTTCCATCTGCAATGCCCTCCGCTCCCTCTGACTTTTCGCGTCCGCCTCCGCCGCTGCCACGCGTTGCCGAACCACGGCGGCGTCTGTCGCGATTCCGGCGGCCGTTGCGGCTGCAGCGGCCTGCGTCGCCTCCGCCTCCGCTCTGGCGGCCCTCGCCGCTGCGGTTGCCGTCGCCGATACGGCATCGGCAGCGTTGAGAGACGCGGCGTGCAAGCACAACCGGCTCCACCCTCGGAACAGCAAGCGCCTGCCTTTGTCCTTGGAAACTCGAGATATCTGAGCGTAGAGGCGACGAGAGCAAGACGGCGTGGTCCGCATGACGTGCGGGTGCAGCGTGGGCCGAGTCCACAACGTTCTTCGCCGAGGTGTTCAATGGTTGTTTTTCTACGGCATCCGTGTGATAGCAACACATCCAATAGACACCGGCTCGCGTGACCTCTCGTGATGGGAACCGACGCGTTCTACTGTTGTCCGAAGCATGTTATCTCCGCATACCACCAGCGACCATGGATGGAGTGCCAAAGACAACCTCTCACAGGAGTTGAACTATGTACTCAAGCGTGCGCTTGGCGGGGGTATGCTCTACAAACCGATTGCAGTGCCAATCGAGTAATGAGCTGAGCCATTCCACGTTCCAAGGCCCCAAGCGGATGGTGTCTCACCGTGGTCATCGCCCTATGCCGCTGCAGCTCCTGCTGCTGCTCACGGCTCCGCCCAGTCGACACTTCCGTTTCGATCGCGTCGGTCGCCGAAGCTTCCGCTGCGGTCCTCTTTTCCTCGGCCTCCACCCTCGCCGTCCTTACAACTGGTGCTGCTGCTGCAGATGCCCTCTCCATCGCCGCGAGCGAGGCGGCGTGCAAACGGAGGCGACCCCAGCTGCGGAATAGGAAGCAGCGGATTCTGTCGCCGAGCACTCTAGTAACCTAGAAGTGCCGGAGGGGAGTGAAAGTACGGGATGTGTCATGGTGTTAAAGGACACGTGTATCTACCAACGGCATCCTAGGGTTAGGGTGGTTCGGGAACTGTACGCGCGTTTGTCCTGACAAGGTATCGCAATAGGTATACCACGACGACTCGAGGCGACCATGTCCTTGCTGTGCAATCTACAGGATCTGCACGAGATCATACCCGGGTGATGTCACGACATGAGGCCCTGCTCCAATTGTCTCGTGAAAACCATTCTGACCACTTTTGCGCATACTATTTTTTCCACGTATCAAACCAACGTATGATATACCATCCATAGTCGACGGCGAGCCCAAACAAATAAGCCAGACGAACGGTTTGCGACAGTAAAGAGTAAGGGCCCCGATACCATATTGAATTGCGACAACAACCGTCGGCCATTCAACCAAGAAGCACTCAGCGTTCTTTCTACACAGAACCTGCGATGTGCTCCTTTAGAGGCAGAGCTGCGTGAAGCTAATATTCCACACGAAGAACGGTGTTTCCGGGAGCTTCTCTGTTGAGTGCCTGAAAGGGGAAGTTCTACAATCGTCCATCGCCTGTCGGGTGTTTCGTGAAGGCCGACGACATTGAAGCCTCGTGGTCAGGACTCTGCACATCTGCGTCTAGACGGTTGCTCAACCCATGCAAGCGTATACTCACCATCCGAACGGCTAGCTGTCGTCTTTGGTCATCGACCGCCTTTTCAGCTTCCTCTGCTCTCTTCACAAAGGTCGCCGCCATCACCGACTCCTCGTCGAGCTTTTCCACTCCCTTGGCTCCTTCCGCAGGTTCCGCAGGTGCTTGCGCCTGGTTCTCCATGGCATCCGCCCTAGCGGCTTGAGCTGCTGCAGGCTCGGAATCTGACGAAATTCCATCTGCGCCGCCTTTTCCTGCAGCGTGTCGGCAGAGCCTACTCCAACCAAGGAAAAGAAGCCGGCTGTTGTAGCCCCGACCTGCGCTGCAGATCTGCAGTTGGGCCGCGATTGGAACACGCGCTCAACGTGAGACTGATGGACACGATGGGCGAGGTAGGACAACAACGCCGCTACACCACCGCCACTTCATCGATGGGCGTGGGATGTTTGACACCACTCTACCGTACCCCGTCGTAGGTGTACAATACACAAAGGCTGAGTGATGGTATATTGCGATAGCGAAAGCCCACTTCTCCTGCATTGGGGGATGACGTGCACCGTCCTTCCATAGACCCAGGTGCGATGGTGATGGAGAAAGGGAACTGGGTTGCCAGCCCCACCACCCTTACCATCTGCAGTGCCCTCCGCTCCCTCTGGTCTCTCGCTTCCGACTCCGCCGCTGCCACCCGTTGTCGAACCACGGCGGCGTCTGTCGCGATTCCGGCGGCCGTTGCGGCTGCAGCGGCTGCCGTGGCTTCCGCCTCCGCTCTGGCGGCCCTCGCGGCTGCGGTGGTCGCCGCCGATACGGCATCGGCAGCGTTGAGAGACGCGGCGTGCAAGCACAACCGGCTCCACCCTCGGAACAGCACGCGCCTGTCTTTATCCTTACAGACTCGAGATATCTGAGCGCAGAAGCGACAAGAGCAAGACGTCACGGCCCGTATGGAGTACGGTTGCAGCGTGGGCCCAAGTCCGCAACGTTCTAAACTGAGGCTCAATGGTTGCGTTCCTTGGGTATTTGGTGTGACATCGACTCACACCTCAGCAACATTCCGAATAGACGACGGCTCGCGTGACCTCTCGTGATGGTAGCTAATGCGGTCCATGCCGTACATCCGAGGCCCTGTGACAGCTTGCTCTGCATGCAAGCGACCATGGACAGAGTATCAACAACCCTGCTGTCATAGTGTTCTACTTGAAAGGTTTCGCTGGATAGTCTTATGGGACTATCGCGCTGACTCCGTTTCTCCCAAACGTTTGCAATCGTTGTTTGAACGTTGCAGCTTGGCTTGAAACGATTCGTTTTGTTGGCACAGCGGCCGACATGCCACTAGTCCTCAACCACCATCGTGTCACTCGATGAACTAACTGCCCAGGATACCCAACGAGTTACATTTCATTTTCTTGAAACTGAGGCAAATGGCTTAAGCACACGCTGGGCGAGTATGCGCTCTATAAAACAAGTTGTTGCTCCTATCTAGCTATGAGCCGTGTGGGCGTCTCACCGTGGTCAACGCCCCATGCCACTGAAGCCCCTGCTCCTCCTCACGTGTCCGCTCAGTCGACGATTCTGCTTCGACAGCATCGGTCGACGAAGCTGCTGCTGCGGTCGCCTTTTCTTGGACCTCCACCGTCGCCGCCCTTGCAGCTGATGTTGTCGCCGTAAATGCTCCCTCCACCGCATTGAGCGAGGCGGCATGCAAGCACAAGCGACCCCAGCTGCGGAATAAGAGGCGCCGATTTCTATCTCCGAGCACCCTAGCAACCTAGAAGGCCGGGACGCGTGTAAAAGTATGGCAAATGTTCAGCCAAAGGACGATGGGCATCTACCATCGTCGTCCCGCATGTCAGAGGATCGTGGAACCAACTCGACTACAACGGTCCTGCTACAGGTCTGCAACTGTAGGTACATTCGCTCACGGGGTACACCACAATGGTTTCACGATGACAACGGGACGTATTTTCGGCTTGTTAGACTACGTTCAGGGTGTTCTTCATGATCCAAATCCGGGCCTTTTCCTAATATCGAGCCCAGCTATCTCTGCTTCCATTGTTGTGGTTGCCGTGTGCACGTTGGCAGCTGTTCTGGCATCTGCCCCCTACCTTCTCTCCCGTGGTTGCCTATTCGATGTATCATCTGTAAGAGTGCATATGGATTTGCGAGGACCTTCGAAATGCCTCGAAAAATACAACGTGGTGGATGCCCAAAATGCCTCAAAATATGCCTACAAGGTGGTGAATGATTCAAGGTGGACCAAGCTTCCAGGAATTGCCTATGCACTAGTTTCGGCCTTTGCGCGCGACGTTCTACTGACTCTTGTCACACGATCCTGACACTTTTGGCGTGTCGTTCAGGCTACAACAATGCATCAGGAGCACCTTCGCAAACGCGTGCCGGATTCCGTCTTCACCGACACTGCCACGTGCTCTTGTAGAGGCAGAGCTGTTTGATACTACACGGCAGAGGACGGCGCCTCCTCTGAACCCTGCTGGCCTAGGGCAAAATCTGCGGACCTCGTTTCATTTCAGGAATTATTGTAATTTATCGGCCGACGTCACTAAAGCGTCACGGTCAGGGCTCAACGATATGCCCCCGAGTCCCACCTGGCCAGCAAACTGTGTAGATCAATTAATTCAAGGACATACTCACCAATCGGGCGGCTAGCTGCCTGCTTTGCTCGTCGACAGCCTTTTCAGCCTCCTGTGCTCTTTTCACAAAGGTCGCCACCATCACGGAGTCCCCGCCGACCTTTGCCGATGCCTCGGCGTGTTCTGCAGGTGCGTGTGTCGGCTCCTCCATGACATCCGACCTGGCTATCGCTTCCGCGGCCGTCGATGACGCCTCGGCGATGTGGACAGACGTCGCTTGTTGGCAGAACCGACTCCAACCGTGGAAGAGAAGGCGTCTGTTGTAGTTCCGACCTACGCTACAGATCTGCGGTCGGGCCGACATTTGAAACAAACACTCAACGTGATATTTTGGGTACGATGGAATGGGATCCAGTCGATTGGTGGTGAACAGTGTGAAGGCGATGCCAGCCCAACCACACTTACCATCTGCAGTGCCCTCCGATCCCTCTGGTTCCTCGCTTCCGACTCCGCCGCTGCCACGCGTTGCNACCACGGCGGCGTCTGTCGCGATTCCGGCGGCCGTTGCGGCTGCAGCGGCTGCCGTGGCTTCCGCCTCCGCTCTGGCGGCCCTCGCGGCTGCGGTGGTCGCCGCCGATACGGCATCGGCAGCGTTGAGAGACGCGGCGTGCAAGCACAACCGGCTCCACCCTCGGAACAGCACGCGCCTGTCTTTATCCTTACAGACTCGAGATATCTGAGCGCAGAAGCGACAAGAGCAAGACGTCACGGCCCGTATGGAGTACGGTTGCAGCGTGGGCCCAAGTCCGCAACGTTCTAAACTGAGGCTCAATGGTTGCGTTCCTTGGGTATTTGGTGTGACATCGACTCACACCTCAGCAACATTCCGAATAGACGACGGCTCGCGTGACCTCTCGTGATGGTAGCTAATGCGGTCCATGCCGTACATCCGAGGCCCTGTGACAGCTTGCTCTGCATGCAAGCGACCATGGACAGAGTATCAACAACCCTGCTGTCATAGTGTTCTACTTGAAAGGTTTCGCTGGATAGTCTTATGGGACTATCGCGCTGACTCCGTTTCTCCCAAACGTTTGCAATCGTTGTTTGAACGTTGCAGCTTGGCTTGAAACGATTCGTTTTGTTGGCACAGCGGCCGACATGCCACTAGTCCTCAACCACCATCGTGTCACTCGATGAACTAACTGCCCAGGATACCCAACGAGTTACATTTCATTTTCTTGAAACTGAGGCAAATGGCTTAAGCACACGCTGGGCGAGTATGCGCTCTATAAAACAAGTTGTTGCTCCTATCTAGCTATGAGCCGTGTGGGCGTCTCACCGTGGTCAACGCCCCATGCCACTGAAGCCCCTGCTCCTCCTCACGTGTCCGCTCAGTCGACGATTCTGCTTCGACAGCATCGGTCGACGAAGCTGCTGCTGCGGTCGCCTTTTCTTGGACCTCCACCGTCGCCGCCCTTGCAGCTGATGTTGTCGCCGTAAATGCTCCCTCCACCGCATTGAGCGAGGCGGCATGCAAGCACAAGCGACCCCAGCTGCGGAATAAGAGGCGCCGATTTCTATCTCCGAGCACCCTAGCAACCTAGAAGGCCGGGACGCGTGTAAAAGTATGGCAAATGTTCAGCCAAAGGACGATGGGCATCTACCATCGTCGTCCCGCATGTCAGAGGATCGTGGAACCAACTCGACTACAACGGTCCTGCTACAGGTCTGCAACTGTAGGTACATTCGCTCACGGGGTACACCACAATGGTTTCACGATGACAACGGGACGTATTTTCGGCTTGTTAGACTACGTTCAGGGTGTTCTTCATGATCCAAATCCGGGCCTTTTCCTAATATCGAGCCCAGCTATCTCTGCTTCCATTGTTGTGGTTGCCGTGTGCACGTTGGCAGCTGTTCTGGCATCTGCCCCCTACCTTCTCTCCCGTGGTTGCCTATTCGATGTATCATCTGTAAGAGTGCATATGGATTTGCGAGGACCTTCGAAATGCCTCGAAAAATACAACGTGGTGGATGCCCAAAATGCCTCAAAATATGCCTACAAGGTGGTGAATGATTCAAGGTGGACCAAGCTTCCAGGAATTGCCTATGCACTAGTTTCGGCCTTTGCGCGCGACGTTCTACTGACTCTTGTCACACGATCCTGACACTTTTGGCGTGTCGTTCAGGCTACAACAATGCATCAGGAGCACCTTCGCAAACGCGTGCCGGATTCCGTCTTCACCGACACTGCCACGTGCTCTTGTAGAGGCAGAGCTGTTTGATACTACACGGCAGAGGACGGCGCCTCCTCTGAACCCTGCTGGCCTAGGGCAAAATCTGCGGACCTCGTTTCATTTCAGGAATTATTGTAATTTATCGGCCGACGTCACTAAAGCGTCACGGTCAGGGCTCAACGATATGCCCCCGAGTCCCACCTGGCCAGCAAACTGTGTAGATCAATTAATTCAAGGACATACTCACCAATCGGGCGGCTAGCTGCCTGCTTTGCTCGTCGACAGCCTTTTCAGCCTCCTGTGCTCTTTTCACAAAGGTCGCCACCATCACGGAGTCCCCGCCGACCTTTGCCGATGCCTCGGCGTGTTCTGCAGGTGCGTGTGTCGGCTCCTCCATGACATCCGACCTGGCTATCGCTTCCGCGGCCGTCGATGACGCCTCGGCGATGTGGACAGACGTCGCTTGTTGGCAGAACCGACTCCAACCGTGGAAGAGAAGGCGTCTGTTGTAGTTCCGACCTACGCTACAGATCTGCGGTCGGGCCGACATTTGAAACAAACACTCAACGTGATATTTTGGGTACGATGGAATGGGATCCAGTCGATTGGTGGTGAACAGTGTGAAGGCGATGCCAGCCCAACCACACTTACCATCTGCAGTGCCCTCCGATCCCTCTGGTTCCTCGCTTCCGACTCCGCCGCTGCCACGCGTTGCCGAACCACGGCGGCGTCTGTCTCGATTTCGGCGGCCGTTGCGGCTGCAGCGGCCTGCGTCGCCTCCGCCTCCGCTCTGGCGGCCCTCGCGGCTGCGGTGGCCGTCGCCGATACGGCATCGGCGGCGTTAAGAGACGCGGCGTGCAAGCACAACCGGCTCCACCCTCGGAACAGCAAGCGCCTGTCTTTGTCCTTGGAAACTCGACGCATCTGGGCGTAAAAGCAACGAGGGCAAGACAGCGTGGTCCGGATGACGTGCGGGTGCAGCATGGTCCGAGTCCACAACGTTCTTCACTGAGGTTTTCGATGGTTGTTTTGTACGGCATCCGTGTGATAGCAACATATCTCAACGACAGCTCGCGTCGACCCGGTCCATGCGGTACATTCGAAGCCTCTCAAATTCTTGCACGCGTAAATCGGACGTCTTGGCCTGGCTTGAGGATTTTCACTTGGTTCAAACACGCCGTATAACTCCCAACGTCGTTACCTTTGATGTGCCGCTCAGGTTGCCCAAACATTTGCATACTGTTTGAGAAACCGACATAAACATTTCGGCCGTGTGCTGGGCGGGGGGTGTCCTACAAACCAGGTTGTACTTCCTATTGTATAGTCGGTGCGGATCGTTCGAAACAAAAATTGGAGATGGTGAGACATCCTGAGGCCACCGGTGGTCCCGCCTGCGTCTTGCGGTCGTTCTTTTGAACATCGACCTAAACCCACGTTGTATTGAGACTCAACCCACGCTTACGCTATTCCAATATCATTTTCTGGAGCATGCCGAACAAGCAGCCTCAAGCGCTGGAAAAAACGGCAAGTCGGAAACGCACGCCGGAATACCTGTCATCGCGCTTACGCGTGACCCCACTACCCTTGAGCTAGTGGAAACTCCAACGTAGTGCTCAGGCTTCGTGTAATCCAATCTCCTGTGCGCATGATCTGATCCACTGCCGTACCCACGAGAAACTGGTTCCCCAAGCCCCCTACCCAAGTCGAGCTGCTTCTACGTATACATGCCCCATGCGGATGGTGTCTCACCGTGGTCATTGCCCTCAGACGTTTCGGCTCTTGTTCCTTCTCACGGCTCCGCTCGGTCGACAATTTTGCTTCGATTGTGCCGGTCGACGAAGCTGCCGCTGCGGTACCCGTTTCCTTGGCCTTCACCCCCGCCGCCCTCACAGCTGGCGTTGCGGCTGCAGATGCCCACTCCACCGCGTTGAGCGAGGCGGCGTGCGAACACAGGCGACCCCAGCTGCGGAATAGGAGACGGCGGTTCCTATCCCGGAGCACTCTAGCAACCTGGCCGTGTGGTAGAGGCGTGAAAGTACAAAATAACATGCCATGTTGGAAGTCAGTAAGCAATGTGTATCAATCATCAATATCCACCCCTTGCTGTAATTATTATTGTCGCTGCGTTGACGTTTTCAACCGTTCTGGCGTTCACTCAGTCCTTGCTGGTATACATCTCACTGGTGAGGATGAATAGCTGTTGTCGACAGTGAGTCCAAACTCTTTAGGAAGATCAAACGTTTGTGAAAATGTTGGAAAAATTGTAACACGAATCCAGTCTGACTACGAGGGTCTCGCTAGAGTTCTTCATGCATGTTCATATCGTTTCTAGGGGGCAGGTCGAGCTTACGAACGTCTTGAAAGAAAATGTGTGATTCTTGCTGAAGCGAATATGGTTGCCAGCCAGTGTTTGAAAGCTGGTCTAGGCCTTCTGCATGGATGTCTCTACCGTCTCTCTGCGCGTGCCAGAACGTTTATCAAATCCTTCAGGATAGTACAAGTCCGACAGAAGCGCTCTCAGACCCTTGCGACATTCGTTCTTCAGAAACAATGCGACGTGCTCCGATCTGTGAAAGCTATTCTAGTACACGACTCGGTAGCGGCGCCTCGCTAGAACATGGCTGTTGACCTAATCCCGCTTGAAAGAGCACAATCTACAGTTTTCCACCATCTCTCAAGTGTTTCTGTTCCGGCGGACGTCACTGAAGATTCGCTGTCAGGACTCAAGACACGTGAGCTTGGGGCGGTTGCTCATGCTACCGTGCACTCACCATTCGAACGGCCTGTTGTCGTTTTTGCTCGTCGACTGCCTTTTCAGCTTCCTCTGCTCTCTTTTCAAGATCCGCCGCCACCATCGAGTCCTCGTGGCCCTTTCCCGATACCTTAGTTCGTTCTGCAGGTGTTTGTACCTGCTTCTCAACGGCATCCGCCTTGGCCACGCGAGCCGCTTCCGTCGCAGAAGCTGAGACTTCGTCTGCTGCACCCATGTAGGCAGCGTGTAGGCAGAGCCGGCTCCAAGAGCGGAATAGATACCACCTGTCTCTATCACCGCATACGCGTGTTATCTGGAACACGTCCCAATATTTTTTAGGTATGCGTACGATGGGTGTTTCACGGAAAATGGTTGTTTTCAGGTAAAATAGTGGGAAACATCGACGGAGCGCCATCGAACCAATGGCTCTGAACCTGTGTCTCACCGCGTATGCGGAAAACTGACGTGTTTGGTGAGAGCAGGGGTCAACAGAGGTGATGTCCGCTGTGCGTGTGAACAATGTGACCCCACTTCACTTCAAATCTTCGAGAGACAATTTACCCCAGAGTACACGTAATACTCATGCTGCTCACGCACAGTGATTTTTCTTTCCACCTCACTTGCCGCAGTGGACGACAGTTCTTACCAAGATCTTTATCCACCGAAGCTGATGCTCTCGTAATATCGCCTCCATGGCTGTGATCTTGTGCTGTAGCTCAGCCACCGAGTTTGGCCCTCGAGCAATCTCCCGTCGCGCCTGTTCCCTCGCTGCCGTCACATTTTCGATGTCATGTTCCGCTCTCCTCGATGCCTCAGTCTTATCTGTGGTCTCTTCAGTCTCCATTTCCATCGCCGTAGATCGGGCAGCCCTGGCCGCAGCGGTGGTGGCGGCGGAGGCTCCCTCGGCGGCAGATGCGGCGTGCAGGCACAGACGACTCCAACCGCGAAACAAGAGAGCCCTGTCTCTCTCACCGCACACGCGAGTGATCTAGAAGGTGGGATACATTGAATACAGGGTCGGGAGGCAGGAATGGGGTAGTCGGCCACAGCAACTTACGTAACAGTTGGCACTAACACTTAACAGCATGTATCTTCGCTGCGAATTCGACCACCAGATAGCAGTTCGATATTTCGAACTGTTTTACGAGTTCGATATTTCGAACTGTTTTACGAGTTTAGCGGTGAATGGCGCTCCTGCTGATTTTCTGTCCCGGCAACATTGGAAATCCAGAGGACTACAGATTTCAAAACAGGAGTTCTCACCAATCCTTTCACCCGGCGTAGCTGATCCTCTTGCACTGTTTTCTCTATCTTTTTGACCTTCAGCTCCAGGTCGGCCATCAAGTTTGACCCGAAAGCAGTTTCCCGCGGTGAAGCGGCGGCCACTTCCGCCTCCTTCTGCACTGCATCAGCTCGGGCAGCCCTGGCCACAGCGGTGGCAGCGGCAGATGCCCCCTCGGCAGCAGACAGCGATGCAGCGTGAAGGCAGAGACGGCTCCACCCCCGAAACATGAGGGATCGATTCCTCTCACGACCGAAGCGCGTGATCTAAAAAATATCGGGGGTTGTAGCGAGCAGAAAGTGAGCTGGGTATCTGAAGCGTGTCTGAGCACCAACATTCATCGTATGGCCTATTCCTCCTGTTGCACAAACAACAGACTTTCCCAGCTCGGATGGATGTGCTCACCAATCGCTTCATCCGTCCGAGGCGATGTTCCCACTCCGTTGGCACCTTCCCTGGCGCTTCCACCAAAGCGGTACTACTACCGGCTGCCGCTCCTGTCTCTTCCTCCATCGCCCGGCCTCGGGCACCTTTGGCCATAACTGCAGCGGCGGCAGCCCCCTCAGCCGCGGACAGCGTTGCAGCATGCAGGTGCAGTCGGGTCCAACCGAAGAACATGGAAGCCCTGTCTCTGTCACGGCACACGCGGGTGATCTTGACGTGCAGGAAGGATCAGGAGGGGAATGTGGGGTTGGATGGAGTGGTAAGCAGCAACATGGGCTAGGCTTACGCGTGCGGCTAAAAGTGAGGGTGCGACGAGCGAGGCTGACGGACCAGACGAGGAACGCCCCTTCTCTTGTACGCACAGAGTCACCCTACACTCGGCTGAAAATGTGCCATGTACGTGGTAGAGTTTTCCAGTGGAGGCTGCGTCTCACCAGCATCTTCGTTTGGCGTAACTGATGCTCCCGCACCCCATCTTCAGTGCTTTTGATAATGCGATGGTGCTCAGCCGCCAACACACTGGCGGCTTCCCGCTGCGCGTGCTCCCTTGCAGTGGCAATCTCCGCACTGGCGTTGGCCGCTCTGCTAGGATTCTCAACCGTTTCGGTAGCCCCCTCTGCCGCTTTCTCCAACACCTCAGGTCGTGCAGCCCTAGCCGCAGCTGTGGCGGCGGCGGACATCCCTTCGGCAGTAGACAGCGACGCGGCGTGCAGGCAAAGGCGACTCCAACCGCGGAAAATTGCGCGCTTTTCTCTGTCCCGGCAAACGCGGCCCATCTGAGAAAGACGGACAACACGCGAGTGGCAGCAGGGTCTTTGGATGAAGTTGCTTCGTTTCGAAACGAACCACACTACGAATCCAATCAAGAACATAAACCAGGCAAAACGTCAGCGGTGAGCTGCATCGCCCAGTTGCTTGGTAGCCGTAGGTTTCACATGGCACTTGTGTGTACCACTCGGCCGTGTAGCATAAATACCGACCACAAGACTCGAACTCAGCCTGCTGATTCGGACAAAACTGACTGCACTCTTGCACGCATGCCTACTAGACAACCGTGAACTCGAAAACGTCTCACAATTTTCACCCCTTGCTCCTGTAGTCCTATCTCCTTCCCGTGTCTCTGCCGTTGGACTGCGTGTTTAAGAGGAGAATCTCGAGCGACTTTGCTCATCTCTCTCTCGGTATCTTCGGGGCCTGAAGCAGTGGACCGCGTGGTCGTCGCCGAACGAATAACCCCCCCCGTGGAAACACGACACAAACGGATCCATGCTCTTGTCAAAGCTTCCCTTGTGCGCTCCCTCGTGACGCGAACAACCTGGGTGAATGTTTCGAGGCGGGCATGCTCCATGTTTTAACCACAGATATGGCAATTACACTGCCAAAGGAAAACGCTGATTCTCGTTCGGCGTCGCCTGTTCTGCACTTGGGTTTAATTCCAGAAAGCGA